GTCTTTTGTGGTATGTGTGGATGAGGCTCTTTATCTTCTCAGATGGTAAATCTGCCCATTCTTCCTGGCAAAAAGCCTCCAGTTCCTATAAATTCTTGGGCTGTCTTGCATGAACTGCATGTTTTGAGATCTCCCCTGAGTGGCTCAATGATATTGAGGTCAGGAGACTGAGACGGCCACTCCAGAACCTTCACTTTATGCTGCTATAGCCAACGACAGGTCAACTTGACCTTGTGTTTAGGATCATTGTCACGTTGGAATGTCCAAGTACATCCCATGCGTGTCTTCCGGGCTGATGAATGCAAATTTTCCTCCAGTAACTTTTGATAACATATTGCATTCATCTTGCCATCAATTCTGACCAAATTTCCTGTGCCTTTGTAGCTCACACATCCCCAAAACATCAACAATCCACCTCCGTATTTCACAGTAGGAATGGCGTACTTTTCATCATAGACCTTTGTTGACTTCTCTCTCAATGTAGCGTTTATGGTTGTGGCCAAAAAGCTCAATTTTGGTCTCATCACTCCAAATGACTTTGTGCCAGAAGGTTTGAGGCTTGTCTCTGGGCTGTTTGGCGTATTGTCAGCAGGATACTTTGTGGCATTTGCGTAGTAATGGCTTTCTTCTGGTGACTCGACCATGCAGCCCATCTTTCTTCCAGTGCCTTATTATGCATCTTGAAATAGCCACACCACAAGTTTTCAGGGAGTTCTGTATTTCACCTGAAGTTATTTGTGAGTTTTTCTTTGCTTCTCAAACAATTTTCCTGGCAGTTGTGGCTGAAATTTTAGTTGGTCTACCTGACCATGGTTTGGTTTCAACAGAACCCCTCATTTTCCACTTTTTGATTAGTGTTTGACATTCTCAATTCCTTGGATATCTTTTTATATCTCTTTCCTGCTTTATACAGTTCAACTACCTTTTCCTGCAGATCCTTTGACAATTCTTTTGCTTTCCTCATGACTCAGAAGCCAGAAACGTCAGTGCAGCACTGGATGAAAGATGCAAGGGTCTGTCAGGAGTCCAGGAACTCATTGACCTTTTTATACACACACACACACACACACACACACACACACACACACACACTAATTACAAGCAAACAGATCACAAGTGAGGATGGTTACCTTTAATAGCCATTCAAACCCCTTTGTGCCAAACTGTGTGCATGTTATCAGGCCAAAATCACCAGGGTATGTAAACTTTTGATCAGGGTCATTTGGGTAGTTTCTGTTGTCATTACGATTTAAAAAGAATAAACACAGTTGCTTGATAATAAATGGCTTCAGCCATACACTAACCATGAGTGAAAGAAAAGTTTTTGTGTTATCATTCATATTCTCTGAAAAATAACCAAGAAATCATAAATTTTGCCAGGGTGTGTAAACTTATGAGCACAACTGTAACCATGCAGTTATAGAATTGTTTACAGATTATGTTTAGAGACCATAGTTGTAACTAAAATAATTCTAAAATTTAATCTGGGCAAAAAAAATTTAGTCTTGTCCTACTGGACTCACATGGGGAGTAATGACTAAACTTAGTCTGTTGATCTATAAAAGCATAGAATACTGTATAAGTCTGCCATTTTCCCTTGCTATGACCAATAATTTTAAGCTTAGTAAGTATGGAATGTGGTAGTGGGGGAATTGGTATTTTTGAACCATGGTTCTAAATTTACAAGAAGATGAATATAATAAAATGCAACATGTAACTATCCACGTGACTTATTTATAAAATAATATAATAAGTATAAAATGAATATAATAAAATGCAACATGTAACTTATCCAGGTGATAATTGTTTGGTGAGAAATACAAGGCAGATGTATATTAATTTATAAGAAACTCCCAATGGTATGAACAGCTGTATAATAGATCTAATTACTGAGGGAGATAGTGCTGGAAGCCATATACTAGAGAATTTAACTAGGATCCCTGCACTGAGCAGTGGATTTAACAGACTTTCAGCTCCATGAGTCACTGGATTCATCTGTTACATCTTCAACTCCCAATAATTCTCATGGAGGCAATTCAAATAACCTTAACAAAGAAATATAATCTATACACATGAAATATATTAATGGAAATAGCAATATCAATTCTGTTCCAAAAGTCTAAAGAAATTACAAAAAGAGGTAATTGTTCAAAATTTGAAAAATAGTTTAATGTGGTGCTTAACTATCACCCATATTTTAGCAAATGCAAAGCATTTTAATCTATTAAAATTTAAATCTCCAAATGGCTTACTTTCCCACTTCTACTTTGTGTTTTAACTCTTATATTAGTAATCTGAGAAAATATGTGTCCTGACCTGCCTAATGGGAATCTTATTTTATGATATTTTTAGGTATTCTTGCTGATGAAAGGAAGCGTCAATTCAATGATCTAGGAAGATTTGTTTATTAATATTAAAAGAAACAGTATAATTATCAATTCTACACAGTTTTTTTCCTTCAGTGATTGTAAATCACACATGACATGTTACAATCTTAAGGACAACCGTGCCAATTTCAATATTTGTTTTCAGACAAATTGGCTTGTTTAATGAATTTCAGCTATCAAAAAATTAAACCAGAAACAGATCTCCTTTGCAAGCTTATTTAATGTTTAAAATATTTGTACCTTGCTGTTCCTCATGTGCTGAATGTGGCTTTTAATTACCAAACCAAGTACATCCTAAACCTGCAGTTTATGTAGTTTATGAATGCAAGCATACATGTGCCAGGTTGGCCCCTTTCCCAAAACTGTACAAATGGAATCACCATCACCATAGCAACAAGCTCTCAGAGTATTTTGAATCAATATTCCCGCACTGAGAGAACACAGTATTAATATAAAGTCCAGATTCTGGCACATAATCACATGGATTCTTTAAGACCAAACCTATATCAAATTGCTTGTAAATCAAATCAAATTTATGAGACTAATTTAATTGAACACAATGAGCAGAATACATGGAAAAAAGGTCCACAGGAGACAGACAAGTTTTATTAAGTTGATTCCCATTCAAAATGTTGGTTATATGATACAAGCCTTCAATTGCCATGAAAAAGGCATTGGTAGAATTATTGCTCAGAATTAAAAATACAAATGACTAAATCTTTTGCCTGTGATAAATTTTTGGATTTATTTTAAAAAAGATTATTACTGTTCTTGATCATGACTAATGTTTAATCCTCCAAATAAAGTTCCATTTCCCTATCTTCATGGTATACATAATGAAGATAAGATGAAATACAGAAGTCAAATTAAACATAATTTCCCCTGCGGCTACCAACTCCCAGAACAATCTAGGTCCTTAAACCATCATTTAAAATACTTATTAATATCCTGGTTTCTTCCAAAGCTGATTATCATAGTTTAACAAGAACAATAACTTGTTTATTCGAGATACAAGTTGACTGATACATTAATACAAAGGAAAAAGGGAATACTGCATAGCAAGGAATCTGTTCATATCTTGAGTTACTAAGACTAACCAAAGACTCTTAAATATACTCTATAAAGGTGTTTGAGCAACAATTCACAGAGCTCTTTTCATATAGAGCATTTTTGGCACAGGAATAGAACACAACTGGAGAAATAATATGGGGGAAAATCATAACAAAGCCTTCCATCCACCAGAACAAGGATTCCATCCACCAGAAAATCCATAAATTGGTTGAGTTAAACCTGCTGACAATCCACATGGGCAATTCAATACCAGTTGGGATTCTGAATCAATGTTCTGGATATACAAGCTCTTTTCATTTGTTTGTATTATTGAAAACAGTTCTATAAAGGACTTTAGGGAATGGGTTTTGTTGGATTTTGTTTGGGAGAAATGGAGCAACAAGTGCACCATACTCAAGTACATAGTCTCTGCAATCAACATGAATATGAACATCAAATATTTCAACAGAGTGATGTCCTTCCATGAATTAGGATGCAATAAAACCACTCAGCTAGTGCTGCGTTCAACCAGGAAAACTACCAATATATCAGTATTTCACTGTTTACCACAATAAGCCTAAGCACAAGTGTGAATTATAGAGGGCTATCTTTCTAACATCTGTATACATGATCATAAAAAACTAATGCATATTCCCAAATTTCTAAGAAGTTTTAAGGCTGACATGGTAATTATGTTTATTTGAAGAAATGATAGCACAGGTACAATTACTGTATAAAACATGGAACATCAGACACGCATTCTTATACAGTAATTATATCTATTCTTATTTACCACTACCAGTAGAATGGAATAAGCCACAAAAGAAAGCTCATAATTTTTTTAAAAAATATCTGATGGAGACAAACAAAGTAGCATTTGTACCCAAAATGTCAGCAGTTTACAAACTCTTTCCTTTTGCCTGTTCTGAAAAGCGAGATAGCCTTGCTGTGTGTTAATTTTCAGAGAGCTAGCTTTGAACAAAAACAAAAAGAAGTACATCAAAATTATTGTAGCATAATCCAGATTTCCCCAACCTACTATCCTCATATGACCTAGAGGGCACCAGTTTGGTGTAGACTTTGGTGGACTTTGGTTTTATCTACTACATCAAATGTCTCTCCAGCAAGTTTAACCCTATTTAAGTCATTGGTCTTGAAGATGCACTGGGCAAGGATGGTATGTTAACTCGTTTTAATATATATGATGTGAGTTTCTGCCATCATGATTTGTTTTACAGATTTTTGTTATATTTTATTATGGTTACATCACTTCAAGTGGGTTCTGAGAGCCTTGCTTGCAGCCCTCAGATATTCTTCAAAAGCTGCTGCCATATTTTAATTCTACATGCAAAAGAAAGTGAATATTATTAAACTCATGGGAAATAACCATTAGAATTATGTGGATCTTTAAAAACAATGTTCCATTCTAATTGTCAGATTAGATCAGCTACTTGGCTGTGATCTGATTAATAACAGGAGTTCTATGCATATGGAGCATAAAAGCCTTCAATAGTTCATCAAAAATTAAGTGTGAAGTGCATAGTCACAATTGCCTCTGCTTACCTTTCTTCCCTTTCTCTTTTTTGCTTTCGTGCATGACGATCCATGACACTTGTTTTGGTTCTTGTCTTTTTCCAGGAGTAGTAAAACTTTACCAAGCTTGCTATTGATTTGTCAGGAAGCTGGGGAACACAAAATAACTGTTGACAATAGCACACATAGTGATAATGTGTCCAATAGAGAGGCTTCTCAGCTATGATCCAGTCTGAGCAGAAGCTGGCAATTAGTATCTTGGATTTCAAAAAGAGCATCCTATTGCTTTCAGGGAATTCATCTGCAACTCTGCCTATTTTTTTTATTCTAGACCATTTTGTGTGTGAATTCTATAACAAAATAAAACATATGGTACAGATAGTCCTCGACTTACAACAGTTCATTTATTGACCACTCAGAGTTATAATTGCACTGAAAAAAGTTACTATTACCGTTTTTCACACTTATGACCATTGCAGCCTCCCCAGGGTCACTTACTCAAAATTCAGATGCTTGGCAACTGTCTCATATTTATGATGGATGCACTGTCCCAGGATGATGTGATCCCCTTTTGTGACCTTCTGACAAGCAATGGGGAAGCCAGATTCACCCAACAACCATGTTGCTAACAACTGCAGTAATTCACTTAACAAATGTAGCAAGGAAGGTTGTAAAATGGAGTGAAACTCACTTAACAAATGTCTCACTTAGCAACAGAAATTTAGGACTCAATTGTCATAAGTTGAGGACTATCTGTAGCAGATGTTGAACAAGAAGCACACGTACATAAATGCATACTCTCAGAGCCCCATAGGATAAACTAGGATGAAGCTTCTGAAGACATGATTCATCTGAAGTTCTGTTACAACAGTTGATCAGTAAGGCTGCTGTCTCATCTTATGCATCCTTAATTTTGGTCCCTCTTTCTTTCATGTTTCCTCTTTGCTTTACACTTCCCACAGTCAGTGAGAGATGGCAGTTGCCTATCTGACATTCTGCACATTCCAATTCTAGGAATTCTAGCTCCCAAGTCATTTGCAATACATACAGTGCTAAGTATAGATGGCAAATGTAGATTTAAAAAAAAAGTAAAGGAGTCCCTGCAGATCTTACTCCGCTAGGCATTGCTGACTATGGGGTGGTGGTGGTGGTGGTTCATCTCCATTTCAAGGCCATTGAGCCAGCACAGCCCAAGAGCATTTTCTATGGTTGTGTGGCCAACATAGAGTCACAGAGTGCTGTTACCCTCCCATTGAAGTAGTACCTATTTATCTACTCACACTTGAATGCTTTTGAACCGCTAGGTTTGCAAGGGCTGGGGCAAGTAATGGGAGCTCACCCCATTGAATGGCATTCAGATCTCAAACCTTGGCTGCTGGCGTTAGCCAACAAGCCCAGTGTTTTAACAGCTGAGCCAACACGCTGCCCCAGGCAAATGAAGACATTATGACAAACAAAAGTAACTGTTACACAGTAAAAAATAAGTAAAGGCATGTCTCAGAGAGAATCACTGCTGCTTCCACTTCATTTATCTTCCAGACCATGATTTTGAGAAATGCCTGAATTCAATTATTGCTTGTCCAGAAAGTTGTACTGGGAAAGAAAAATACTAGAAGAGTAATCCAGTATGGAATAGTTTTCTTTCTAGTGACCAAGAAATCTTTTTTTTTAAAATTTGGAATGTGTTAAGTGGAGTGTCATAAGACATTCCTTTTCTTGCAATAACATCACTTTTCCCCATAAAAAGTCTACATAGCCCTAAATAATTTATGCCATAAGATTATTTCCTGCATGTTAAAAGACTAGCTGTATGCTATCAGAAGGCAAATCAGCAGCAGAATCATAGGTCATGTTATAGAATCACAGGGATGGAAGGGGTAATTTAGACAATGGAATCCAACCAGGCACAGATATTCAAATCAAATTATCCTCAAAAGAGGGACAGCTTAGTCTTGAATGAGATTGTTTTATGGATATCAGAAGCACAATTCTTTAACTCTTTAGAACATTCAGAACAAACCAATTCACTGGTTTGAAGAACTGGAAAAAGTCCTAAAAGGCAAAGTACTAAATTAGATGTGGCCACAAAAAGAGGAAAAGCGGTTATTCATCCAATTAACAGTTACAAGTGTGCCTCTTAAACTCCAGTGATTATCAATATAAAACATTTTATTCTTTAAAATATCTTCATAGAAAAACAGATCTGGAGGAAAGATGTTTTCAGTGCTTCTGTTGCTCAGATGGTAAATGCAAGTAAAACGAATATTTAACCATCTCATACTTCTACCACCTTCTCTTTGAGTTTTATGTCAAAAAATTACTTAATCCGGCCTGCTGCTAAGATTTTCAGATACACAAACATGTATAGCGCTATATTCTGAAAGTGTGGAATCTTTTAGGGGACCATTATTGCAAAATGTTGCAGGTACTGTTGACTTGACATTATTTTCCCTCTATTAAAGACCTATAAAAATTGATAATGAACCTGTCCTTTATATTGCTAATATGCAAACACTATTTATTATGTACAATGAGAAGTTTCTAATATACTACATTATCATCTACCAAATTCACTCAGTCCATTCTTTTTCCAGGCTATCATCAATATGGGGTGCTTGCAGGATGAACTTTGTAAATAATAAACAAGGATAAAATGGAGAGGCATGTATTTGGATAATAAAAGCTAATCATTAAAATACATTTTAACTCCCTCATTTGTTTTTTTAAGTCAAGATCTTTGCACTTTCAATCTCTTGCACTTGATGATCCTTACCATTTGCTGAATTCGATGAAAAGTTTTCCCGTGGAAACTGAAAGCTTGTTCAAACAATACTTTGTCTTCAACCGTCCATTCATCTGGGAAGGGGGTGAAGTTGGGTAAATCTGCCAGGGATTTCTCGATGTTATGTTTGTGCCAAAACAACATCCCAAGTGCCTGCAATGTGGGAAGATGTTTACATTAAAAATACCCAATCACAACACAGATTTTGGTGGTCTGGTCTGTTTTAGATACTTCTCAGCTGTCCTCTGTGAGGACCGCATTCTTACTACACAGAAAATTACAGTGACAGAAGGAAGCAACGCAGAGATTCTCTTTTAATATCACTTGTGACCTTGTAGACATAGGACTCTTTATAAGCACTATTACATTACAATGCTTTCTTTTGAAGTGATGAATAATACAGAACACTTTAATCTAGAAATGCTGCAAAAAAACACAAAAGGGTCTGAAAACTGTGAAGGCATTATCTTTCTTCTCCACTAATGCACTATTGTATGGTAACTATCCATGGACTTCCAAGGTGTGTGTGTGAGAGAGAGAAGGGGGAGGTCTTGAGGCCACTGGTGCAAATTACTGCATCATTTTGACATCATTGTGATTTGGAACATTAAGTCTACAACAGATATAGAAATAGACGTCATCGCTCAGTTGTTAATCTTCAAGTTAATAGTATAATATAGTGTTTGAAATAGCCCCCTACAATTTGTATTTAAGAAAACTGGACATTCTGCGAGAATTAATGATCATTATACTCACAATTAAAGTTGTGAGCATTTTTGAGCAATGAATCCTCAAAAATGCTCACAACTTTAATTGTGAACATAATTTAATGAAGAAATAATTTTGTTCTATATTATGGATGCATTTTATCTAGTTAATTAAGAGAAATACTATTCTGTTTCATCAGGCTATTTTTGAGAAATGTAAATAAAGGATGTCTGGAAACCGCATTCCATTCTAAATTTTAAACTAATTTCAAAAGTCTGTTAATTCCTGTACAGAGCAGCACAAAAAGATAGCTCTACTCCAGTACACAACACAGTTTCTGCAAATCTATTTAATTCTGCAAATCAATGAATCTATATGAAAAGGGGCCACTTATTTAAATAAAATTAAGCAGGCATTCAAGCTTACTCAAGTAAAATCTTCTATTTCAATCAATAGCTAAAGTATTTAGTTGAACAATTCTTACTTTCTGCATTCATATAGAGAATCCACATAACCTGGACTCACAAAACTTTGACTCAGATAATTCGAAGTAAAATTATCATTTTACTTTGGAGATAATTTGCCATTGGAGTTTCTCAGTCCACCAAACCAATGCTGTTATTCTACTCTCCCCCTACTACTTTCCTGACCCCACATCAGAATTCCTACATGAGAAATGGGTTCTGACTCAGAGTAAAGAAAACAGAACAGCTGACAAGAAAAACAAAAAGGCTAAAGAGAAGCACCTACAAGTGTATTAGTGCATTGCCTAAAAACTTCCAACCTTTATGTGTTAGAGGTTTATATGGACTGTTCATATGGGGGGGCACTCTCACAAAGTGATGGATATGGTGAGTTGAGCCAATTCTAGAACATCCATAGAGAAGGCAAAGCAAACAATGCAAATCCGGTGCAGTCTTTGCAATCCCTGAAGTCAATGAATTTTTTCTGAGCTCTAAGTGGATGCATTACTGCAAATATAACTTAAGGCTGGCAGTTTGCTGAATGCAATTCATTTTTTTTAATTAAAAGAAAATTAGAGAGGGACAGAAGCTTGATAACAGCTGTACATCACTTTAAGTAAGGTCATGGGTGAGTTAGACTATCTATAACTTAAAGTGTGTGGCCTTAGAGCAACACAAAATTGATGATCTGTAATTGGGCGCACTTCTGCCTGCCTGCCAGCTTGCTTCTTCCTTCACCTTCCAACACCACAATGTTCCTGGGGCAGAGAAGCATGCAATAGGTTTTCCTTCCAGCTGAAACCCATTTGGTTTCAAAACATATGAAGGATGTTCTTAAAACCTAGGGCATGATCTGCTTAAGAAACAGAAGATTATTCATTCTCCTTCACAACATAAATAAATAGCTGTCTAAGTGTGTTTAGGAAATCTTCTCTGGAAATTTTCTACAGAAAGTATTCTCAAATCTGTTTTTAGATATATAACATTTTGAATAGGCAGAATTAAAATGACTGCATAAGGTTTTACATATGCAAATATCTGACACACTAAAAATATAGTAACATGGTTAATAAAAATCACCTAAAGCCAAAATCAACACATTGAAAGCCTCTACAGTTACTTCTGCTTCTCTTTTACATCATATTTTGTATTTACCGAAAATAATAAACCCACCCCTGCCCCATCTGGAGAAAGGGAGAGAGCACATTTAAATATTTTCCAACTGTTTATTACCTGTTCCATGTTGTACCCATGTTTTTCTTTTGCAATAGCAATGTATTCATCCACTGAAAATAGAAAATAAAAATAAAAATTAGAAAAACAAATCTATAAAGAAACAAAAAATGCTTATCATATAGCAAAGGTAACAATTGCATCTAGATAGTGAAATCTTTGGGAAGCTTAAAAACTATGGCCCTAGCTCCGAAATCAAATACTTGAAGCTAATTTATAACTTTTTTTATTTAGAATTTGTTAACCAAAGGTTTCCAGTTTGAAGATGCTATAAAGATAAGCACACCCATGTTTTAATTCTATTCCCCCACACATATATCAGAATGAGATAAATGTTATCATTAATATGTTGTCTAAGAATTACTAATCACTCTACAAATTATGACAATGGTTTCAACAAGCAAATTTCCAGTTTAAAAAATACAACATACAAAATAGGGGAAAGGAAGACGAAGACAGGTGCTTATGCTAGACATTTCATAATCTTGCTACTTTATCTGATTGGATAAAGTGGATCATCCTGACTCTATCCTTCAGTACAACTTCATTCACAACTTTTAACTTCCTAGTAGATGGACAGAGCCATGGCATATTTTCTTTTGTGCCAGAGCAACTTGCAGCTGGTTTTGTGTATTCTTCCAAAATGCCAAAAAAGAACAGAGCTTCCTGCTGCTAGTTGTTCACAGATGAAGCCAAGATGGACTTCCTACATCATAATGTTTTTCAGGAGCAACAGGGGGTAGACATTTCCAGTGGTCTATTGGAAAGGAATAGCCAACTGTTTTGGGACATGTTTAAATCTGCAGATGAAAGAATGTCCTTAGGAAATATAAGAACTGCCACCCTAAGATTGATCAGTAAATTTAGCTGAAAGAGATGCCTGTTTAACTGGGGTGTGTGTGTGTGTGTGTGTGTGTGTGTGTGTGTGTGTAGATATTTTGCTCTACTGTAGTACATCCAACTGTAGTAATGCAGAATATACCATTCATACATTACAAAAACAATGTGAAATGTTTTTATTTTGTAAATCAAAAAGGCGCAATAGTTTGAAGATGTGGCCAAGTCCATATTGTTGCCATCATGGTATAGCAGTTTCTTTATCATTATTATAACTAATACAAGTGACCAAAGACAAGGAAGAAAATCCCCTTATATTTGCCTTGTAGTAGGGAAAAAAAGGAAGAGCAAACTTCCTACTAGTAGGAAGAAACATCAACAGGACTGGAACAGTGATAAGATGATCCTCCGGGGGAGAATCTCTCCCCCAACCCTACCCTAACTACAGAAAATCTCATACATACACAATCTTGTTGCCACTCATCAAATCAAAATTACAAGTTTGCATTTAAGAAAAGTATTTTAACCATCACAATCTCACAGAAACAAATCCAAAAGAGTCAGCTGAGTGAACAGATTTTTACTGGGGTGATATCAAAAAAGCAGGCTTTGTTTCCTTCATCTAATCATCTCATTAATTCCACACTGCAGTGCACACGGCCCAACATTTCGGCTTATGGTTTCTCCTCAAGATTTGAAGCAGCAGTAAGGATTAAACAAAAAGAAAAGTCTTGAAAGTGAGTCCAAAGAACTAAAATTGGCATGATACAGATCTGCCCAAGTACGTAAGTTCATACTTTTTTTAAGTGCTCAGATTCTACCATTTCATCAAGAAATTTAAAAATAACTTATTAAAACATTGTGACAGATAACAAAATATAATAGCAGCAGCTTTTGATGGACTAACTTTGCATTAAAATGCCTTCATACCTCAAAACCCCAAGTTTACTTCACAAGGTAAGCAGGAATAGAATTAACAACTGATTCCATCAAAGCTTTTTTTTTTTTTTAAGTCTTAAACTTGTCACAGAAAGTGACAACTTTCTCAGGGAAGGAGCTTTAAAGACAGTCTAAGGCTGCATAGTCTGTGTGTATGGTCTCTTACTCACTACACATTATACAACTATAAATTTCATCCTCCAGATGTATTGAAACTACTGTATAATCCTCAACTTCTGACAATTGAACAAAAAAATATGTTAAGTGAGACAGTTAAGTGAATTTTTCCCCACTTTATGACCTCCCTTGCCATAGTTGTTAACATAGTTATTAAGTGAATCACTGCAATTAAGTTAGTAACATGGTTGTTAAGTGAATCTGGATTACCCACTGACTTTGCTTGTAAGCAGGTAGCAAAAGGGGTCCTCATGACTGCAACTGTTATTAATATGAGTTAATTGCCAGTTGTCTGGATTTTGGTCACGTGATCATGGGGATGCTGCAATGATTGTAAGTGTGAAAAACAATCATGTCACTTTTTTGAACTGTTGTAAGTCAAAGATTATCTGTGCAAGGAGCTTGCTAAGTAACAAGGAGCTTGCTAAGAACTGTAGTTTTAAGACAGAGGTCTCCAAACTTGGCAACTTTTAAGACTTGTGGACTTCAACTCCCAGAATAGGAGCTGGGAGTTGAAGTCCACAAGTCTTAAAGTTGCCAAATTTGGAGACCTCTGTTGTAGGAGGTCACTGAATTAGGAAAGAATCCTGTATGCCAAGCTTCCATCAACAGGAATCTTTGATTAAATGCTTCACTATCAGGCACATTATCTTCTAAAAAGGCCACAGAGACATGAAAGAAATGTCATTCAACCATAACATACTGAAGGACCTTACATTCACAGGAACAGGACCAAATCAAAGACGATGCACTAACTCTCTCTGACAGTTATGACCTTGTATCAGGATGGGTAAACACAGACTCAGACCCAAGCCAAACAAGAGGGTGTGATTGGGCTGATTGATTCTTGGGAGGGTACCATCTTTGGTTTTTGACAGTTGTGATCTCCCAGATAAAGCAGGTTGACAATCTAGGAGTTTCCCTTGTCTCTAACTCCAAGAGCAGATGAAGATCAATGCCAGGAGGGCTGTTGCACAGTTTTGGCTGATGTACCAGTGGTGACCTTATCTGGAGACATTCATTCATGCTCTTTTCATCTCTAGATTAGATTATCGTGACTCACTTTACATAGGGGCTGCTTTGAAGACTACCTGCAAATTTCAATTGGTCCAGAATTCGGCAGCATGCACTATGCATGGTCACAATACTGCACCTTAGACCTCTGCTGGAGTTTCATTGGTTACTAGTATTGGGTTTTTTTTGGGGGGGGGGGGGTTGGAAGGGGGCCTTCCAGGGGTGGGATCCGACCAGTGTAACTACCAGTTCGGTGATTTTACATTTTGTGCACGCTGGCACACTTTGCGCGCACACGTGCCTGACGCATGTTGCGCACACATGTATATTGTTGTCATCTAACTGCCTGGACAGCTGAGCAGTGCTGCGCGCGGGTGCACAGCGGTTGAAAAAGCACTTTTTTCCTGCTTTTTCAACTGCAGCTGTGTCACGCAAAGCAGCTGAGGTTGAAAACACAGGAAATAAAGGTCAGGTAAGAGCCCGGGCGGGCGGGTGGACACCCACTCGATTACATATTTTAATCATTTGCAACATTTATCCAGCATTTTTTTTCTATTTTATCTGAACACAAGTGCTTTTCTCTATTATTTATTCAGCAACTAGTAGAATTGCTAGTTGCAATACTTAAAAAATAGACAACAGGAAGCTTGTTTAATACTATTAACATCTGATCTCTCCAAAGCTATAGGCAAACTAAAAACCAATGTCATGTACCAAAATACAAAAGAAATCCAGATTATTATATAACAGCAGACTTACTTCTCAAAAATGCAGTCTAAAATAATGAAAACTGGCTTAAAAAACAGTCTATAAGGATCATTGCTGTCTGAGGGGAAAAACAGAACCCAGAAAGTCCAGTTGCGTCTTGAAAAAGCACCTTTGGAACAACCATGTGACCTTGAAGACTGAGAATCTCCATAGACCAAATGTATTAATTGTTCATAATTCAGCAGATTTTTCTCTTTAAGACTATAAAGTTTTCATCAATACCAGCTACTTCCTCAAGATTTTTTAAGTCAGAATTTTCTCGGATGAAATAAGTCACTCTACACTGCTATTGTATACTTCTAAACCTTCTATTTGCAACAAATGTCTTCTTGGAACTACAAAATGGACAGCAGTTGCTTTTTATCTGTTTTGCTTGTATCAAGTTTTTAAAAAATATTGCACAATTTTTAAATGTTATTTTAGCACAATATACATTTTTTTCCTGCACTTTAGATCCATGCATGTCTTGATATACCTTTTGAGCAAAGAGCAATACTGCAAAATTCAGAAAAATATCTAAATGAGAGTAAGCTCTGGTCTATGTAACTACCCAAAGAAGCAGAGCTAATCTGCTTAAAATCTGGGCCAACGTTCCTAAACATCTTTAAACACATATGAAAGATGAATATATATACAATTACTCTCTAGGTAGAGGTTGAAACCAATTGACGAGTACTGATATTTTCTTTCTTACCTGCAGTGGAAAGCATAATATGGGAAGCTTAAAAGGGCTGCAAGTATACATGCACAGATATGCACTGAATTCATTATTCAAAATGCCAGGCATGCATGTCACATAATAGAAGTTTTTCACATTTACAAACATTTGAATCCATTTTCAGTGATTGTCTAAGCTCATTTGTTAGCATTATACCATATTTTTTCTCTCTAATCTTTTTAGCTCATTATGTTAATTATGAAAAATTGAAAGCATAAGTAACTATCAGCAATCGAGATTAATTAAGGAATAATCAGTAATTTTTCCTAAACACAAGTCCTCACTAATTTAAAAAACTACTGCATACTAGCAAAGAGCTGGCTGCTTAAGGACTAATTTCCGAAAGGCACAATAAATGCACTCTGCTTTACATTTGGAGTTGGAATGTTGAAGGAGTTGTTGTGTGTTGTAATCTAGATTGTGACTCTGATATTTTTCAGTCAACATCCTTTTCCTGTACCAAACTATAAACATAGCTTTTAAAGGTAGTTCTTGACTTACAACAGTTCATTTAATGACCGTTCAAAGTTACAACAGCACTGAAAATGACTTATGACTGCTTTTCACAGTTATGACCTTTGCATCATCCCCTTAATCACG